GATGTCACCTCTGTCGCCCAATCAGAGTCAAGCTTAGGCTGACGTGCAGCAGCCAGTTGCCAGGCTGGCGGGGCGGCGCCAGCGAGATCAGGTCTGAAAGCGAGACAGAGAGAGAGAGAGAGAGAGAGAGAGAGAGAGAGAGAGAGTTGAGCTCAGAATCCCTCCGCCCCCCCAAACACCAAGATCCTTCAGTGTTCTTCATCCCGTCTTTGCATTCTTTCATCATCCATCGTATCGAAGCGGGTCCGCTGACACGGACGGAAACATGCAGCGGTGCTCTGACTCACTGTTGGACGGTGGGTCTTTGCATTGGCCCTCCTGGATGGTGACGTCATCCAGGGCGATGTCGCCCTCAATGCCGGCGCCGCGCACCCCTTCCAGCGCCACCTGACGGACGTACACCGCAACAGCGCTTAGCTTAGCCCGTGGCCCTCGTGAGGATAAGACCAGCAGAACGTGGATGGATGCATAGTTTTGTCTATTAATGGTATAAGTTGTTTTTTTTTTTCCCTTTTTTTTTTAGATCCGTTTATTTCACTGAGGCACATACCGTATTGGCCCGAATATAAGACGATATTTTTTGCATTGAAATAAAACTTGATAAGAAAAATTGGGGGTCGTCTTATATTCGGGTTCTAGACATTATACCCATTCACGACGCTAGATGGCGCCAGATATCACTGAAGCGAATGCTGAACTTGACTCCCCAGGCCAAAGTGAACAGAAAATGGAGAAACGTAGCGAGAAAAGTGGGCCGAAGATCGGCCAGGTTAACCGGCAGCTGAGGAGAAGTTATGATGTAATTTACATTTCAAAAACTAGAAGCCATTCATTTACGAATGTGATGGCACTTTAGTTTACATATTTAGAGGTTCAGATATTAAGATTTGAATGAGGCAAAATAACATGCTTTTTCTCTCAAATGTATTGTTAGAATCATTTGTTTCAGATGTACTGTCATTATTTTCTGTATAAAAATTAAAAAACTTTTTTCAAACTTGAGTTTAGAAAAAGAGGGGGTCGTCTTATATTCGGGCCAATACGGTAATTCCATCCGAACGTGACCACAAATGATGAGAAAATGCATTTGGCTGTCAAATTACCTGGAAGTCGGCGGTGGGGTGAATGTTGATGGCGGCGCGGCGCCATCGGTCCCCCTGGTTGCCGCTCAGGCTCCACACGGCAACCTCCGATGTGCCTTTTTGCCGCAGGAAAACGCTCAGCGCTCCTGCGGCCAAAACGGGGAGCTGACGTGAAGGCTCGCCGAGGTCACGCTAGCCGGCCGAGGCCGCGCTAGCTGGCCGACGCCAGGCCGACTCACCTATGTGCTTGCCGTACATGTGGTAGTAGAAGGCCAGGCAGTAGGCGGCGCCGCTTTTGGAGCCCGTGTTGAAGGAGGGCGACAGGAGGCGGGCCTTGTCGCCTTCCAATCTGGGCCGGGACGTCTCGATGTAAACGTAGTACCCTGCGGGACGCCACGATACCCGTTCAGGATTGGCGATTTCATTGGAGATGGTGAGCAAATGCTTGTTGTTGGCGCCACCCGCCGGTCAGACCGGAAAAAAAGCGGAGCGGTCGTCAAAAAGGGAAGCAGGATGAAAAGGGAGGGAAGGAAATCCCCAAAGGCCTGCAAATCCAGCGTGCTCTTCCTCCCGTGTGTTGGTGTCGCGTGACTCACGCATCGTGTGCGCGTGTTTCCAAAAGTGGATTTGAAAGAGCGGGCGGGGTCAACGCCGGCGCGATTTGCAGGGCAACGCGGGGAATTATTTGAGAAGCCCGGCGTAGGCGTGCGCGCGGCTGCGAGATTAAAGCGCCCGCATTGTGATCCCGATGCGCTTCATCTGCTCGAACAACGCGGCGTCACACGTGCACGTTTCTTGTCTCCGCGCTCGCGCACACGTCGGCCCTCTTGAAATCGCTTCACACAATTGACCAAATTTTGCAAACTCAGCACCCAAAGCCAGTTTCGCTGAAGCAACATGAAATTTGGGAGATCTGTCAATCGGTCATCCAAAGTCCCAGAAGATCATGCCTGGAAAAGACAAAGAAAGTCGGCCATTTTGGTTTACAGTACCCATTTTAGGAATGGTTTGATCGTTTCCAAGTTGTCCTGGAGATTTTCTCCATCTGCTAGCGGGTTTGACACATCCATGCGTGCGCGTGTGCGTGTGCGTGTGTGTGTGTGTGTGTGTGTGTGTTTGTGTGACCTTGCTTGGAGCCGCGCCGGTCGGCGCTGGGTCCGGTGTTGGGCGTGTACTTGGTGTCGCGGGAGGCGGCGCTGTGGCGCGTCCAGTCAAAATCGTCACTTTTATCCTGAGAGAAGAGACACAAGGCCTCATCCTCGAAAGCACACTGGAACTCCCCTGCGCGCACACACACACACACACACACACACACACACACACACACACACACACTGAGAGCTGACTTTTCACACCACGCGCCACCTCAAAAATTAACGTGGCTTACCGTCCGCCATGATCAACATGAACAAACAGGAACAAAGTAGCGCCAAGTGTACACATACAATGTGAACTCCTCCGAGATATAATCAACAACAAGTTTCCAAAGTACTCTTCACTCTGTCCAATGTTCGGCAAAATTCCCTAAACGTTACCGGAATACTCTAAAATGTTCGGACAGATTCAACAAAAGTACTCTGAAATCGCCTTGAGCACTCCCGAGAGATTCGTTGTCAAATATGACTTTTGGAAAAGCAAAAGTGGACTTCGCAGACTTCCAAATGCACCGAACATCCACATGAAACTTCGCTTGTTAAATGTTGAAAAACAAATTGAGAATGATGAAGCGCAGGAAATGCTTTGCGGTTCGCCGCCGCAAACATCGGAACGGGACTCCACCCATTTCAAGTACAGTCCTACCTCGGTTTTCGACCATGATGCGTTCCAGAAGGCTGTTCGAAAAGCGATTCGTTCGAAATCCAAAACTATTTTACCAGCCCATGATTAGGGGCTCATACACTATGCAGAAATAACAAAAAAAAAACTGTAAGATTTGACTAAATCACAACAAACACGTCTTCTCACAATGAATGTTACATGAGGAAGCGTCACTTCCTCGTGTAAGGAAGCCGAGAGGAGTCAAGTGGCCTATTCGGGTTTGCTCAGTTTGATCAAAAACGGTTTTCGGTTGTAATTTTAAACGTGAATATCTCGAATTTTCTAGTCGAAATATGATTTGGTCGATAACAGTGACTTTCGAAAACTGAGGTTTAGCTGTAGTTGATTGTAAGAGTCAAGTGGCGTATTCGGGTTTGCTCAGTTTGCTTGGAAAACGATTTTCGGTTGTAATTCTAAACGTGAGAATCTCTAATTTTCTAGTCGAAATTTGATTTGGACGTTCGAAAACCGAGGTTTGAATCTAGTTGATTGTAAAAAAAAAAAAAACATTCTAGTGGCGGCCATTTGTTGGCTCGCCACTAGAGGGAGCCCACGTGCCACACGCGGGCGTGAATCTCGCCCCCAACCTCAGCCCACGGAGCCTCGGGGGACGACTCATGAATGGGGGGGCGGGATTGCCGTGGTCCGATGACAAAGGGGTACTCACTGAGGTGTGGATTGACCGGCGCTGCGGAGGAAACACGACAACACCGGTTAGATGCGTGAACGCGCAAGCGGCGCCCGAGCGCGGGAAAAGGACGTACCGCGGTAGGTGATGACGCGCTCGGTGGCGTCGCCCTCGCCGTAGCGCGTGATGGGCGTCAGGCGCACCAGGTAGGACTCGGGCATGACCAGTTCCGTCAGGTTGTGGGTCAGCAGCTGCCCCTTGTGGATGTTGGCCTCCATGGGGATCTGCTGCTCCCACAGGCGGCCCTGCCCCACCTGTCGCGCACGCGCACTCTCAGGTTAGCGTTTGCGCCAGCCCCCCCCCGCCGCTCGGGCCGGTTACCGAGCAGAACGAGATGGAGGCTTATCGCAAAGTGGAGTGCGTCACCTGGCGAATGCCCAGCCTGTAGGCCAGGATGCGGTCCACGCCGGCGGGCTCCATCTGGGTCCACTGCAGCGTGAAGCCGTACGTGCGGGGCCGGTTCTGCCACAGGGCGCCGGGAGTGTCGTAGTAGAACTCGGGGGGGAACGCCTTCCCTGGCGCAGGGAGAACACACGCTTGCTACTTTAGTCGCATCCACGCACACACGCGCTCGGATTGGTCAAGATGCCTCCAACGTGACGCCAAATGTGAATGAGTGTGTGTGTGTGTGTGGGGGGGGGGCGTATTCGGTGTCGGTGTAAACGTGTGGATGCCTGCGCGCGTGGGTGAGAAAGACAGAGCCTTAAAGTCCGAAGAAGAGGGAGGAGAGTGGTGATTGGTCGACTCGGCTGTCGCCATGGTGACAGCGGCAGTTAAAAAAACCCAACACAATCAGGACAATTGCTTCATTCCACTTCCTGTCCCATTTTAAATCGCACTGCCAGCTGTCGTGTCTTTGAAAACGGGCCTTTGGGTGACGTCGCTGTGCACGATCGCCAGCGGCGGCCCGCATCGTCCTGGATCGGGACCGAAATGAGCGTCATCTGGTGTGCTCAGTTTCACCGCCATTCCGAATGCATCGACCCTCT